CTATGTCAAAATGAATATTCTAACATAATAGTTTCCAAATCCCAAAATTACTCCCACGTGAATATTAAAGTTTTGTGTAGTCAAACAAACAGCGGTGCGAACTAATAAATCACTTGAAAGCAATGTGCTAAGTTTGGATTGGCTTTATTCGCTTTTCTGAGAATGAGTATTGGACAGACAGACGTTATGAATATCTATATTTACACAGATGTGAAAATAAAAAATATTGCGTTGTACAAAATGTTTTAATACATTTCTTCTTCTTCTTTATTGCACACAAAATTTGTACAAATTTGTTCAAATAAATAATGAATTAAAATTGAAAAATTGTAGGACGCTGTGTAATTTTTTTTATTTATTTATTATATATATGTTATACGTATCTGCTGCACTAAAATATATATCTAATAACATATCATCAACATCACTTCAGCCATATATATATATATATATATATATATATATATATATATATATATATATATATATATATATATATATATATATATATATATATATATATATATATATATATATATATATATATATATATATATATATATATATATTGTATGAATCTGACTAGTTCAGTGCTTTCACAAATATGTATCTAAATATATGTCACTATATATATGTTCTACATTTATTTTTTCTTTTTACTCTAAAATATTTTTCATCGCGCTAAGTTCCGATAGTTTATTTCAAGACACTTTGAAAGTCCTAGAAATTTGGGCTATAGCTTCATTTCTATTTAGAATTTCTACAGAAAATGCCAAAAAAAATTTAGAACAGAACACTCAACATTTAATTGGTCTTTCTTCGGAACGTTTTTTGACACTCGATGCTCTATCTAGATGTATTTGATCGGTCCATTTACAGTTAAGCATGTTTTGATGTTTACGTATCAGATTGCGAAAACAAGCTCATTGTGTTTGACACATGTTTATTATTGGAATAGTGATGAGTTTTGGAAGGTGTCCAAACGTTTAAAAACCATTTAAGTACCATGAAAACGTCCTATTATTACACATAGGCCACAGAACAGATTATGGTTTTCTCTTTTTTTAACATAGGCTATTCGACCGACTTCAAAAAAGGAGGAGATTTAAAATTTGTATTTTACTCCCACTGATCGAACTTTTCCTCTCAATCTTTTACCATCTCAGCCTTTGGAATGCACTGCCTATTGATATCAAAACCTAACCAAATTTTCTTTTCAAAAGTCCCTTCGTGACCATTATACTTCAAATTATCACAACAATATGTACTATTATATAATTAGTTATCATATTTATTATATAAATATATATTATGAATAGTTATGTATGTATGTATAATTTTTGTAAGTATATTATTTTTTATGTTTGTATGTTCATTTATCTTAAAATGTATTAATGTTGTTATCTCTCAAAATATACATTTAATTTACAAATTGTTTATGTTATATCAACGCACCGCGATTTACTCTCTCTGTTTAGCGTAACGCTTGACTAGTAGAAAATGCCATCAGGCATTATGCCCGCCCTGTGGACATATTTTTTATTTAGATTTATCGAGATTATTCTTTAATTGATATTTGATACGACAAGATCTATAATCGAAAACAGCTTTCTACAAGTTTATAGTTCAATTTTAATATAAATAAGAAAAACCATAAAGTTATTTCCACTCGGAAACTATCGAAATTATACGAAATGGGATATTACGATCTTACATAAGGTTAGATGTCACGATATGAAATAAATATTAAGTTTCACTAATGATGGGGACTATCGTTTTTCAATGGAATTTATTAAGAACCTCTAAATAGGAGTTACAATTCATCAATTTTCTTGTTGTCGTATTATGGTAATTAATAGGGTTTCATCATCATCATCATCATCATCATCTAAGCTATTATCCTCTACTGATTACTCCCATATTAATATTGTGACGACTGAATATGCTGTTTTCCATCGCGATTTACCAATATTGACTTGATTGATGAATTCGCATTTTAAATTCAAATATTTTTAATACAGAAAAAAAAGGAACGAAAATAAGAACACAGGCATAACACTTTAGTCCTCAGATGTGGCAACGCATGAAGCGTATCACGGATGACACATTGTGCTCTGTTATATCTATGGTACTGTTCATGTCTATAGGTTACCGCTTTGCATCAGATTGGCTGTCTAGTTGTTTGGTATTCTAAGTTACATAAAAAGAAATCTAATATATCAAATTAAATTATATTAAGTTTATTTTGTTTACAAAATGTTCTAGACATAAACACAGTAAATCTCACACAACCACTTATCCCAAACACGTGTACGCGGCGCTTTAGATTTCGAACATGATATAGACATTACCTAATTGCCGTGTTGAGAAAATAACACTTACAACACCTCCGGACAATAGTCAACCACACACGTCGTTCAATCATCGATAGCTTTTGTTTTTACATCAATAATAATGCTTTTTTTTCTTGTCTCGATGATTTGTGGCGACAGGACGCAGTCACAATGAGAGTGGTGGGATGCGGGCGAGAGAATGGCACTCATTGTGGCTTAGATGCCTTTGTGTCGGCACATGTGTTAAATTGAAGATTTCTTGTGAATTACCCCTTTATAAGGCACTAGGAAGTTCCTTGGGAATCATATTTCTTTTCTTAACATGTCTATTTATCTGTATTGTTCTGTACTTAAGAGTTTATTATTAATTGCGCTAATTCGAGAAATAAATGTAAAAATATAGGGGATGTTTGTAATTAAACTTAAATTAAATTAAATATATTATAACTCATATAAATAACAATGAAAATTAAAAGAAATGTAAAATTGTATCTATCAGAAGCCTACCTAGAAAATTATATAATAGTATATGATTGTCTAGAACCATTCAAGAACCATTGATACCTACGATTCCATGCAATCGATTAAAATACATGTGAAGACTTTGTTGCATAAAATAAACTAACAGCAAATGATACGGAACGTCACGTTAAAACAAGGATATAAAGCATTAAACAAATTGAAGTTGAAAGCAACAGCAGAATTAATAGGTGAGCAAGCACGCGATACCAATCTATCAGTTCAAAGGCCCTGTTTAATGAATCAAACGACAGGCGACTCGCAACACCTCCTTTGTGGTTGGACAAAATTGACTTTGACGAAGCGAACGGAGCTGAAATAACCGATCGTGTCCAACCCATTGTGCGTGATATAAATAGATAGAATGGAAATAAACACGTGGTGGCAATTATCGCGGCAGCGGGTTAAATGAGGCACCGAGAACCGCCGTTAATGGGTACACCAAGCCCGTGGCATCCGGCGGCGCGATCCTTCCACTCGTACGGTGCATAAACGAATGGACTTCCGAGAAAACGTCTTCATACCACCAATTTTATACTCGATTTTATATTCAACATAACGAGTTGCGCAATCACTATAAATAAGATGTAGAAATAACAAGTTCATTGCACAGGTAAAGGCCCTTTTAAATAAATGGAGCCAACTCCGTGGTGCATCCATCTTCGTACAAGAGATTTAAGGTACACAAAATTGCGGATCTACTGCGTTCCCGCTGTCGAACAAAAGCCTTTATTGGCACTCGCTCTCACAATAACAAAGTATAAAATATTGAAACTGTGGCAGAGTGCTATAACAGCGTCACATCCATCAGCGTGTTAAATTCAAACTGTTTAGTAAATTAACATTTTAAAAATTTAATTTCGGATGTGTACCGTGCGAGTGAAGAGGCTGGGCGTGCCACGAGACGTAAGGCTGGGGCATTAATCATTTCAGTGGGCCGAGTCGGCCTCGGCCGCCTCCATACATCACGCACCCTTTGAGACAGCGAGCAACTCATTTGTTCAAATGTACCGTCCGGCTTTTATTAACGTACCAACATTATAAACGTCTCAATTCGTTTGACGACTTCCTGTTCGTCATTTGTCAGCGGCTCATTGATTCAGGTGCGGATCGATCCTTTTCCCATCCACACGATAGTGTTTTATTGTGTCCAGTTACAGAAGATTAATGTTGTCATCAAATCGACCGGCTTACGTGTTCGCTGTTGTGCAATAAATTATCATTAAGTAACACCTTGTCTCACCTGGACGCGGTTTTATGGGCTCTCGGCCGTAAAACACGGTTAATACGCCGGCTCTAATCTAATCTAAAAATTTTTACCTGCTCCTGATATAAATTCTAAAGCAGATGAACGTAAAAAAGATAGTGGATTTGTAATAAACGTAATGGAATGGCATATTCATAAAGGTGCGCACCGAGCAAATGTGAATTTTATTGGCGATGTTAAAAAAAACTGTTACTTTTTAATTGAAACCGCTCACTACAATGTTGGATATATTGAAAAATTGTTGACTTATAAAAAGTAGTTCATGCAATTATGCAATAAAAGGTCTCGCATGTTGTTTAACGCTTAATGAACGAGTGCTTATGGGCCGGTACAATAAAGGGAACGGCGGTATTAGACTGGTGGATAGCACAAACCGGCAGGATATTAAAGGACACTTGCAATTCAAGGGAATCATAATAAAATTATATATGTAGATGGATTCGTACGATATGAAAACAGTTAAGCATTCCGATTATGATAAGCAAGACACTAAAAGGGGGATAAAATTAAAAGTGTCTTGAGAACAGGTTGAGACGGGACTATTTCCAACGAGTGTAATAAATACAAATTTGCGAGTAAGTCATTAAACTTAAGTAGTAACCCGTAATGGCAAAATTGCTATGGACGAGCTAACAAATACGCTGTGAAACGGGTTCCAACAAAATGAGCTCTATTCTGAGCACGTTGTATAACAATAAAATAAAATACCTATTTGAAATTTTAATAGTAAATGTAGAAATTAGAAAAAAAAATTTACAGTAAATTTTATAAGTGTTTTAATATGATTCACATGGCTAAAAAAGGAACTAATAATTTTAGAAAAAAAAATTAAAACTAAATTGTTGACACATTTTAATTTACGGAAAAAAAACTAAACTTACTGCGCATGATGATGATAATGAGTGGCGTGATGCATGGCTGTAGCTGATGCACCAGGAGCTGTAGATGCATGGAAGGCTGCAAAAGCCGATGGGAACTGCAGAGGCAAGAAACCTCCACTGCCAGCTGTCCCCGGACCTCCCACTGACTCCCTATCAGGCATTATTCAAATTCCTAGCACAATAACATTATTTAGTTCTATTTTCACTGTCTCTTCAACAACATCACAATTTATTATCACAAAATCCTTCGTAATAATCAGTTTTTCTTTTGAAATAATAACACCAACTATCGTCAAGTCAACTCGAGACGTATCTCATCCATTTTTTCCTTCATCATTATGTTTTTGTTATAATTCGTAAGTATTCGCATCGCTGCTAATGTAGTTTTGTGTTCTGTCAAGTACCACTTGTATCATTCTTCCGCTCTTTGATTCTGAAACAAAGAAATAATTACTGTTAATTATATTTCCTCCTTTATATTCGGTAGCCGCTTTGGAATTGCTAAATTAAACAGTTTTTGTTTGAGTGTAAACAAAAAGAGTTAATGCGTCTGCGTTAAGTTCGCGTGTCGGTCTGTTGTTACTTCAATTACGTCTATTATGTCTTTATTTTACGAGCGAGAGAAACGTATTACCTCCCATCGTTGCTTGGTAATTTTGCGTAGATTTAGATATTTATACTATATATTAGATGACCTAGTGAACTTCGTATCACCTTGAACGTCATCTATTAAAAGTAATTCAAAGGTGCGATTCCTATACAAAATAACATACTTTTAATTTTTCAATTTTTAAGTTGAACTTTAGAGCTTTTCAGACTGATTTTATTTTAAATCCATGTATTATAACAAACAAACCAAAATCGGTATATAAAGGGGTGCTATTGAATCGGATTTTTGGACGGAATATTCTACCAGTAACCTAACTAGTCAACTATGTTAACAACTAAAGATTTGTATACCCTGTATACCACGTTCTTTTTCTGTTCAATTTCAAGTAACTATAACTTATTAATATAGTAATTTCCAACCGATTTAAAAAAAAAAGTTTTCGAATCGTTTGAATTTTATTGTTTATTACGTCAAAGCTCAGTCAGTTATAAACCGATTTTGAATTTTATTATTTGAAACGATATATTTTCATATTGGTCACTTATAAAATTTTATCAAAAAAACAGTTCGGTGGTTTAGTTTTTAAATCAAACTAACCGGATATGTTATAACTGAAGACGGTTATTTTTTGTAGAACACAAAATTCTAATTAAATTTTTTTTTTTATAGTAACAAAAAAAAATAATTAATCAATTATCAACATTACTATACAAAGCTCCACACAGTAAACTCACAAGTATCCACATAAATTTTACATATGTTTGATATCCACAATCACGTAATGACTGTACCATGAATATACATACCTATTCCTTTATCTTTCATCATGCACATGTAAGTAAATGCGTGCATTTACTTACATATAAAACAATATTTACTTATCAAGTAGATTGTGGTAACCTTTAAGTTGATTAGTTCTTTAACTTGAAAACAACATCTACACTGTTGCTTTGATCGGCCTCTTCACTTATTGATAAATTCCTTGGACATACCGTCATCTTTATATGAACGTGATTAAATTAAGTACATATTAAAATGGAGCAAGTGCATACGGACATATATAAGGTAAAGTAATAGTAAAGGAAAAACAAAGTCGATTGCTTGGGTACCTCTGTCCCATTTGTGTTTCAACCATGAAGCAGTTATGTTTGCATGGCTGTGTTTCGGTTTGAAGGGTGGGATATGACGTGAATTTACTGGGTACAGAGGAATAACACCTGAGTCCGCAGGAATGGCAACGCATGGGGGTTATCATGGGCGAAACAGTATACTCTGTTATGTCCATGGTACTGCTCATGTCTATAGACGACGGTTACCACTTTCCATCAGGTGGGCCGTCAGCTTGTTTGCCATTCTAAGTTGTATAAAAAAAAATTAATTTTGAAACCAAACTACTAAAGCGATTTTGATAAAAAAATTATTAGACCAAACTGAGAAACATCCTTTTAGATAAAAAAAAAAGAATCTTCCAAACGATTTATAAAGGACGGCATTCAGGAAAATACAACCGAATTGAGAAAGGGATTGTTAGTAATGAGTTCTAATAGTCCCATTGCTAGCAATATAACCTATCAGGTCGGCCTCCACGCGGTTCCCCCGGGAAACCATCGTGATTAATTCTTGTCGAATTTTTCACGATAGGCCGACTGACCTGCCTTCATCCTCACCATTTATCACTGGTGCCCCGAAAATGTATACTGATAGCGCAAACAGAAGTTACCATTCCATTATCATCCATTAAAAAAAATCGAAAACCTCTTCTTTGTTTAAGTCGGTTGAAAAAAATTTAATAAAATTCTAATTTAAATGAAGACCCAAAATTAACACGAATATACGTAACAGTAATATTATCGGTTCCTTTTATTCCAATAACTTATTAAAATAAGACGCAGGTTGGAATAAAAATTTGTTGAATTAATTAATTTTATTTATCGACTAGGTATTTCTTATTTCTTTTATTCTATCAAATCCTTATTTACTATATATATTTTTTATTATGGTTTCGTTAACCAATAGTCAATCCTAAGATTATAAATACGAAAGTTTGTGAAGATGGATATTTGTTGCTTTTTTAAGCAAAAACCACTGAACGGATCTGAATGACATTTGGTACACAGAATTTATCCTAACTTCAAACATTGGATACTCTATATACTGATTACCGTGGGCGAAGTCGCGGAATACCACTAGTTATGTATAATTCATCATCTTCATCATGAAGATGATGAATTACAGAAATGATGAATCCGAAATGAGGGTATCCGCAAAAGAATCAAAGTCACCGACATAGCTTAAAGAATAAGCAAACTAAAGTGACAATGCGCATTGGCACTTCATGGTCACATAGAAGAATCAACAACCGATGGTGAAGAAAGGTTGTTGAATGGCGACCTCGTACGAGCAAACGAAGTATAGGACGACCCCCCACTAGATGGAGTGACGACCTCAAATGCATTGCAGGGAGTCTGGGGATGTAGGTGGCTCGGGATCGTTCCTTTGGCAGTCTATGGGGGAGGCCTATGTTTACCAGTGGACGGATAATGGCTGAGATAAAGTTATCTATAATTACTTTATAAAATTTATTTCACTTCACCAAACTTAATGTCAATATAAAAATATTCGCCTTAAGAACCCGTAGTGATGGGAACTGTTAATTACACTGAACCTCGACAAGGTCTGGGCATTCAGTAAAAAAATCGTTGGACAAATTGAGGTGAGCTGACCGGCTTGTTGTTGTCACATAATAATATGTTCTTAAGGAGAAACACATCAGTGTTAACGTTCTGCAATAATATACCCTTAATGAACATGTATGATATTACCGTTCTAACTGTATAACATACTAGTCATTAACCTCTACTTTGCTTCCTCTTTGAATAGAAATTTTTAAAATTTCTTTCTAGACGTTGTAAATTAGACCTATATTCCAAATTTTTGATTTCTCAAGTTAGTAGTTTTGGCTGTGCGTTGTTAGTTAAGCAGAACGAATACAAATTTATGTTTTATTACTATTATTACACGACTGTCCAAAAAGGAAGTGTTATGTTTACGGAGTCATTTTAATTAATGAACTTTATTTAATTTGTATTTACAGACATAACTGAAAATTTAAGAGACAAGATCCTACAGTCCATTTATCTTATAAATTAAAATAAAAATTACCCTATATGTAAATGAAAGAGAATGATTCGCTCTCTATCAAACTAAATACAAATTAATTCAACCATTTAAAAGACAACCACTTAAGTATCGAAAAATTTTACATGTATAATATAAATAAGATTTCTACTTTAAGAGGGCAAAAGAGGAAGAGAAAGACCGAGAAATAACTACATGGGACAAATAAAAAAAACACTAGATGTCATGTCGTATAGGGAGGTCAAGGATATGGCCTGGGATAGAGCTGGCTGGAAGAAGATGCATGAATTAGTTGCACCGACAAGAGGAAACTAGATTTATTAATCTATAATTTCTGATCGAAAATATTGTGTGAATTTTCCAATAATAAATTCACACGTTCTCGTGACCGCTATTCGATTGGTATTTTTTACGACACATATCTCAAAACAGTACATCGGATAAAAAATTGTCTCGTAATTAATGAAGATGTGATTGTTTTGAACGTGGCTCGAGAGAGGGGACAATTCGCCCACAAATAAGGCCACGGTACACTCGTAATGAATCGATCGTAAAGCTCGATATCGATATATCGCTACTCATTTTCATTGAATGAGATTTACGATGTTTATGCATGCAAAATTGGCGGCCGATCGAGTATCGAATTTTATAGGCTATTCAAAAATCGATTCGTGAATTTTGAATGCGTTCAATTAATTGTTTTGTTTCCGATGATTTGTTTTTTTACTTTTTTTTATATCGATTGTGAAGTTATGAATCGATTGTTTCTGTGCGTTTTGCATCACCTGTGTCACAATGATGTTAATTAAACTGTAGTTAAATAAATTAAACATATCTTTTATTTATTAATAGCGTTTTCTTAAAAGATTAAATAAAATATTATTTTCTTAACTCAGCTACGTGAAGAGATGCAGTACTATATGAAGTTATAGACAAATTAATATAATCGACTACGTGATATATCGATATTTCGCATCTCTGTCTGTGAAATGTGAGTGCCGCAATGCTTGGACGCATGCCGCCGCTCTTAATACGGCCCTTAATTACGATTTAATTGTTTTTTTAGCCGTCGAATTGTTCCGATGTGTTCTGAGAATCGACCCCAACTGGTTTACCTTTCATTTTTGTGCTCCCATTCTAGTATTCTATTGTTGCTATGGAAATCATGTCGCAGAATTATTTCAGAGTATAAACTATTTTTTTATGCGACTGGAAAATATACTGTGACGCCTATATGTTTTGTAATTTTTAAGGACTGTGTTATCTCGGTGACCTATAATGTCAATGTCATTTTTATATAAAAATTATAATTATATCATTTATTCAAGAATACTCTTGGACACCACGAGGTTACCCCTGGAAAACATCGTTGTTAATTCTTGTGGAATTCGTCACAATGGACTAATTGACCTGCTTTAATGCTCATCTATCATCCCTCACTAGTGCACCGCCAGCGTATATCGAAAGCACAGGCGGAGTTACTACTTCATTTTCGCCCACTAATTACCCCGTATGGGACTTGGCGTGAAGATAGATAGACAGATAGTTACCCATCAAACGTTGCTCGTATTCGAAGATATCTATTTAACTTCATAGATCGAAGTATGAATTAAAAGAATAAACTGTATATGAATTTTTAAAAACTTGTTGTTTGTATAAACACTAATAAAATTTAATCCAACAAC